CGAGCCAAAAAATTTTGTGCTCTCCCTTACAAAAACATTTGACAAGATAGTTTCAAGTCCAAGCCAAAGGACAATGCCGTAGTTCTCCCAAGGGCATATTTGTCCTTAAAATTTCCACCTAAACATTTTTTAAGGAACAAAATTAAACACATCCTACTACCACGTACCAACAACAGAAATCGCATCTCCACCGTTCATTCCTCTCATCCAACGGCACTCCTTATCCAACTCTTATCACCAATAAAAAAAGGGGAAAAAAAAAAAGAAAAAAAACGAAGGTTATTCTCTCCTCAATATCACTCTGCACTTCTGTCAGTCTGAAGCCTGTTCCGTTGCTGGGATTTCCTCGCATTCGCATTCGCATTCGCATTCGCATTCGCATTCGCATACACCTCTCTCATCTTCAAGCTCTGTATCCGAATCTTGCAGGTGTAGATCTCTTTTCTTTTCTCTCCTCTTCTGTTCTTCATTTCATTTCTCTGTTTATCTCTTTAGATCTCGAATTCTGCATCTGATGCAGTGCGATTGTATGAATCTTTGAATCGATCTAAGTCCATGTTGTTTTGAGTTCTGCTGCATGAGGAATGACGATCTTCTGTATTTTTGCTGAATTTAATTTTCTGCATTGCGTAATCTTGTGTTCGATCGAAGTTTCCATGATTCCCATGCTTCTGTTTTTGATGTTAGTATATATATGCTTTGCGAAATTGTTTAGTGCTTTCTTTGGCGATTGATGGATTTCTTTTGCGATCTGCATTTTCTACTGATTCGAGTCGGTTACCGTAGATTTCTTCACAATCTGAGTAGATCGTTCGACTCTGATGTCGAAATTGAGTTATGGAGTGCTAGTTTTGTTTGTTCTAAGAGAAAATTTACTGGATCTAGTTTTATGCTGACTGTTGCCACTGTGTGTAAATTGTGATGCGGTTGGACTTGTTTCCTTGCCAATTGCCATACTATTTGCTAGCTATCGTTTCTAGTTAAATTTTCTGCAGGTCGTAGTGTTTGGCGTTGGTTAACCACGTTTTGTTCTTTCAATTAGTATGGTACTTCATCTCGTTTCATGTAATCTGCTTGGTTTTTTAATCGGCAGAATGAATTTTATTAAAAGGGAGACTGTAAAGGGAGTAAAGGGGTACTCCAACACTTGCATCAAAATAAGATTATATAGCTTATTTCAAAGTTTCACAAAAGAGATGTAATCTGGTTGTTGATTCTGGATTTACTCTACTACTTTTAGATTGTTTCAGGTTGATTTTTTTTTTTTCTTTTAATATTTTTGGTGGAAAATTCTGATGTGTTGTTCACTTAATTCTACTATGGATTTAGTTTAGTAATATTGTATCTTTTAAGTTTTCATATTCCTAATTTGTCTCTGTAATCTCATTTTAGTATTTCTGTTAACTAAGGTGTTTTCAAATTTTGAATGGGATGATACAGATTTTACTGACCTGGCCTTCTATCTACAATTTTTAGCTTTGACGTATAACTTGTTTTTCTCTTTAAAACTTAGGAAAAATGAGAGAGATTCTCCATGTTCAAGGTGGACAGTGTGGGAACCAGATTAGTTCCAAGCTCTGGTAGGTTGTCTGTGATGAGCATGGTATAGATCCGACGGGAAGGTACACCGGTAACTCAGATCTACAGCTAGAGCGTGTCAATGTCTACTACAATGAGGCTTCTTGTGGGCGGTATGTCCATCGTGCCATGCTTATGGACTTGGAGCCTGGCACCATGGACAGTGTTAGGACTGGTCCCTATGGGCAGATCTTCAGGCCTGATAACTTTGTCTTTGGACAATCTGGTGCTGGAAATAACTGTGCTAAGGGTCACTACACTGAGGGAGCAGAGCTGATTGATGCAGTTCTTGATGTTGTGAGGAAGGAAGCTGAGAATTATAATTGTCTGCAAGGTAAAATGCTTCAACTTCAGATTTCTTGTTTTCATTTGACATGGCCTTTTGTGTGAAGAATGATTTGCTTGAATTTGTCTAATATTGACTTATGTGTTTCGGTTTTAAAGGCAAAAATTCAAATTTGAAATGTGTACTGAGCTATGCCTGTCTTATTTTACTGCATGCTTTGCAAAGCAAAAGTAAATTAGAAAATAGCAAGTAAAATTCTGTCTTTTAAGAGAACTTAATGCTTATAAAACAATGCTACTCTAGTTAAGTCACAGAACAGGTCAGGGAAAAGAGGGTCTTTGCCTTCTGTTAATCCTTTTCCTTTTGTTGTTATGACTTATGAGGATTAATGTTTCTTAAATTGATCTATGTTCTAATTGTCCAAGGCAATATCCTGAAAAGAATTTGCTATGGGTATCAAGGGCATTAAGAAATTGCTCATACCATTAATTCTACGGATTAAATATGACGGCTTTAATTGATGGAATTCCATGCAGGTTTCCAGGTTTGCCACTCATTGGGTGGAGGAACTGGTTCTGGTATGGGTACCTTGCTCATATCAAAGATTAGAGAGGAGTACCCTGACAGGATGATGCTGACATTCTCTGTCTTCCCCTCACCCAAGGTGTCAGATACTGTAGTGGAGCCATACAATGCCACACTTTCTGTTCATCAGCTTGTTGAGAATGCTGATGAGTGCATGGTGCTTGACAATGAGGCCTTATATGATATCTGCTTCAGGACTCTTAAACTGACCACTCCAAGCTGTAAGTGAACATGAAGAGACAAACACTTGCTCTGTTTTAGTGCTACGTTTTATGTTTTATTATAATGCATATCTCTTGTGCCTGGCAAGTTTGATCTCAATTATTGTCTTGTTGATTGGCTGGGTTGCAAGTCGCACACAGTAGTCAAAGTTATAATTGAGTAATAACCTTATACACAAGGTTATATTCTTATTGGATCTTAAACTTTGTTTTACCAGATGTGGTATAGGGCCTGTTTGAATCAGCTTGTTAGAGCTTGAGCTTTTTTTGTACTGTTCATGAGTGATATATTTAAATTTTTATTGGAGGGAAAATTTAAAAGTAGCTTTTACAGATAGGAAAAAGTGAGTAAAAAGGAAGTTTATAAGAAGTTTGAATTTGAAACTTTTTAAGAAGTTTGAATTTGAAACTTTTGATCTTTTACTGTGTAGGGTCTTTTTAAAGTTAAAAAATAATTTAAAAATGTAAATTTTTAGGAGGGAAATTTAAAGTGATGAAACATAAATAGTGTCCTGGAAGCTGCAGCTCTAACAAGCTGCACCAAACGGAGCCATAATATTATTTTTTAAACCCCAAAAGAAAAAAGAAAAAAGAAAAAAAATCTCTTACTTGTATTTACCAAAGGCTTTGAAGGGAATGCCTTGGATGGTGGATGGAAGGTCTTTCTTACCTTGTCTTGTGTAATTTCTTTTATCACTAACAGCATCAGTTACACCTATTTTTGGTATTTCATTTTCTCTGCATCCATGCTTTCCAATCTGCAAAGCTCTGGGCTTTGTAATGTCAAAATTTCTGGTTCCTGTCTAATTTGAACACATTTTGAATGGATCAGTCCAATAAATAGAAATGTACCAGTTTTATTTCTGTTATATACATGTTTATTTGCTAGTGACATAATCCTTAAGGTCTATTGCTATAATTTTTTTTTTTTAATACATGTTGCAGTTGGTGATTTGAACCACTTGATCTCTGCAACCATGAGTGGGGTTACTTGCTGCCTCAGGTTCCCTGGTCAACTCAACTCTGACCTCCGGAAGCTTGCTGTAAATTTGATTCCATTCCCTCTTCTCCACTTTTTCATGGTCTGGTTTGCTCCCCTGACCTCCCGTGGATCTCAGCAGTACTGTGCCCTGACTGTCCCAGAACTAACCCAGCAAATGTGGGATGCAAAGAATATGATGTGTGCTGCGGACCCAAGGCATGGTTGCTACCTCACTGCTTCAGTCATGTTTAGGGGCAAGATGAGCACCAAGGAAGTGGATGAGCAAATGATCAATGTCCAAAACAAGAACTCTTCCTACTTTGTGGAGTGGATTCCAAACAATGTCAAATCTAGTGTCTGTGACATTCCACCAAGAGGGCTCTCAATGGCATCCACTTTTATTGGGAACTCAACCTCCATCCAGGAAATGTTCAGGAGAGTTAGTGAACAGTTTACTGCCATGTTTAGGACAAAAGCCTTCTTGCACTGGTATACTGGTGAAGGTATGGATGAAATGGAGTTCACAGAAGCTGAGAGCAACATGAATGATCTTGTGTCTGAATATCAGCAATACCAGGATGCTACTGCTGATGAGGAAGGAGAATACGAGGAGGAGGAAGAAATGGAGCACACGTGAGGCAAGATAGAACACAAAAGTACCATATTATATATGACATCATGGATTTGTGTTTCTACTTGGTGTGTGAGTGAAAAACCTTTATCTAAAATTGTATGTCCTTGAAGTGCATCCGTAGAGGAAGGAGAATCACAATGTTCTCCCAGAAAAATAGTAAGATGTGGAGAGATATTATGAGAGTGGGAATGTTTAGGTATATGTTTGAAAGCAGTTTATGTTGTACTTATATGCTTGGCTTTGTACCCTTTTTACTTCTCATACTGACAGTGTCTCATATTTTGTTCAATGGTAATGTGCCCTGCATATTTTTGTTGTACATGTTGGCTCCCTCTTTCTGAAAATTTGGTCCCTTATGCTTGTCTAATTTTATGTTGAATTGTGATCCTTTGTAATTTATTTCAAATTATATTTTGTTTTGTCAATTGTTGATTACTAGTTATTATTCTGTGGTCATTGAATTGTAACTTATTGAATTATGTACCTATAGAAAAAAAAAAAAAAAGAAGGGAAAATTCGAACCTACAATTGTCTGATATTTATTTCAAGTCAAAGAACTAGATTACACAAGAAACACACCATCCAAAAACAAAAAGACTGCGCAAGAAACAAAGATACTAATTGCATCGAGACTGGCAACACTTTCGCAAACACACAACAACACTGAGCACCCATAAATTCCCTTCAGCGAAGTCTGAGAGCATAATGGCTACTCCTCACTTTCCACAAGCCTCCTCTATCACATCTTGTATGACACGATAGCTTCCCATGACCCAGATTATGCTAATGAATTCTCGTCCGTATTCTCCCAGCTGCCTAACATGGTTTATATACTGGTCCGAATGTGCTGCATAAAGAAGCATTTCAATCCACATTGCCTTTATCAGCTCCCATTTATTTGTGTTTCGGTTCAATTTTGTGGCCAGGTATCCCGCATATTTTGGCAGATTCTCCATTCCATTCTCGGCACTTACGTTTGACAGATCCTCCATCACAGTCTCGGCACTTAAGTGAAAAAAGGAAAAGATATGTTTAATTAAAAATATTGGTTAATTTAATTATATTTATTACAAATAAATAAATAAACCAACCTGATTTCGGGCAGGTCTTCCAACAGTGAATTCACAGCAGCGTTCTTATCTGATGCGTTCTTATCTGATGCCTTAGAGACAAGGTCCGTGAGCTTATCAAGAGCACAATCCAACGAGAGACTCCTACAATCGTCAGGCAGTAGCATAGCAGGCCGCATGACCAGCAGATACATCATATAATCTGACAAATATTTGCAGATCTTCATGGCTTCATTGGAAGCATCATTGGCATTCTCGAAATCTCGATGGTAACAAATACTTGTGGCCAGGTGCCAGACTATGACACTAGCATCAAAGTGGATTTTGATGCTATATTCGAGGTCTTTCTGCCCCAGTTCATCAAGCGTCTTCTCCCCCCTTGTTGCTTCAAAGGAATTACTCGAGTCGAAGAAGGAATCTAGCCGACTTTGGTAAAGCTCTTTTGGCTTCAAATAGCTTGGAACTTCCACAGGCTTCTTATGCTTTGACCTAAGATAATTTTCAAGAATATCATCGCTACAGTGCTTTTTTAGAAACCTATAAACCCGGTCCATCCTAGAATTCCAGCAATAATCCAAGCAATAATCCAACAAATCAAATTGTCCCATACAAGCTGACCGCTCCTTCTGTTGACTTAAGAAGCAAGGAAGGTATTGCAAGGCACACTGGAGAATTTTGGGTGCCGAACAGTTGTCATACATAAAAATTACTCCCCAATCAGAACAAAGATTTGAGAGCACAGCACAAATATCCAGTGCAACAGTTTCAACCAACATGCACATTGTTAAGAAAACATCACGTGGTTCTATTTTGTTCAGCATCAAACCCCCGAATGATAACTGGAAGATGAAGAAAAGCAGAGTTCCAATAGAAAGAGTGAAGCTGATGAGGCGCAGGATGCATCCTTTCCAAGTATAAATCAAAGGAGTTTTTGTGTAAACAACATCAAATATAAATCCCAGTTCTACAACAGCTATGTCAAAATAAGTCAAATGATTACCACTCCCTAGCTTGTCACTTTCAAGCAAGCCTTGCAGAATTGACTTGACTTGATTTTTGGTATCCCTTAGATAGGTTCTCATTCTCGTTTTGAAGGGCAGGGGATACTCCTTATAACAGAGGTAATCATAGTGATCCGGTCTCATAGCTGCAAACAAAATATAGCCCAGGAGGACTTTTTTTGATTCTTGATTTTCTATTAATGGGTGAGACTGAAGACCAGGATTTTTAAAGACGAACTGCTTGGATTCCAAAGAGTTGGCGGCTTTAAGACACAAAATACTCTCTATGTGTTTGCAGATTCCAACAAGATAGAGAGGAATTGAGAAAACGGAGAGAAAAGAAAGGACAACTGACCAAATAATGACACAAAAGGCAAGAAAGCATTGGACAATCAAGATGAGGAGATGTCTGGGCCAGAGCTGGATATCTTGATAAGAAAAGGCAGTGATGGTGTCAGGGCCACTGAGATTAAGTGCAAGTAATGGAGTCCAAAATGAAATAAAAAGATTAGAGATTTCTTTTGAGGAATAATTGTCTGCTTGGCTAGGTATATTGGATTGACTGTGAAGAGCAATCATGTTGACCCAATCTACTTTGCAATTAGGAAGCTTGCCAAGAGCATCAATGCTGACTCCTAAATTAGAAAGCTTACCAAGAGCAGCAATGCTGATCAAATCTTTGCCTTGGTAGGCTAACCAGAGAATCAATTTGTTGATAAGGCTAACACTGTGCTTTCTACGCTTACCCAAGACAAAGAGAGCGATTTGTAAGAGCATGCTCAAAAGAACCATCGCCCTCACATCCAGTGCTCGCCACACATTTGAAGTATGGGGTGGAATCAATGGTGTTGGCAGCGACTGTAATCGTTGTATCAGTGATGGAAATAACGGTGATAGTACAATTGATGTTGCTGTTGGTGATGGGGCAATTGATGGTGGAATTGGTGATGGGGCAATTGATGGTGGAAGTAGTGGTGGTGGCGCAGTTGGGGCAGGTGGTGGCGCAGTTGGCGCCGGTGGTGGTGCAGTTGGTGCCTGTGCTGGGGCAGTTGGGGTCGATGGTGGCGCAGTTGGCGCCGGTGGTGGTGCAGTTGGGGCTGGTGGTGGCCCAGTTGGCATCGGTGGTGGTGCAGTTGGAGCCGATGCTGGGGCAGTTGGCGCTGGTGGTGGTGCAGTTGGGGCCGGTGGTGGCGCAGTTGGCGCCGGTGGTGGCGCAGTTGGCGCCGGTGGTGGTGCAGTTGGTGCCGGTGTGGTGCAATTGGTGCCGGTGGTGGTGTTGGGGGCCGGTGGTGGTGCAGTTGGTGCCGGTGTGGTGCAATTGGTGCTGGTGGTGGTGTTGGGGGCCGATTGTGGTGCAATTGGTGCCGGTGGTGGTGCAGTTGGTGTCAGTGGTGGCGCAGTTGGCACCGGTGGTGGTGCAGTTGGTGCCGGTGTGGTGCAATTGGTGCCGATGGTGGTGTTGGGGGCCGGTGGTGGTGCAGTTGGTGCCGGTGTGGTGCAATTGGTGCCGGTGGTGGTGTTGGGGGCCGGTGGTGGTGTAGTTGGTGCAGGTGGTGTCGGTGGTGGTGCAGTTGGTGCAGGTGGTGCCGGTGTGGTGCAATTGGTGCCGGTGGTGGTGGTGTTGGGGGTCGGTGGTGGTGCAATTGGTGCCGGTGGTGGTGTAGGTGGTGCAATTGGTGCCGGTGGTGGTGTAGGTGGTGCAGTTGGTGCCGGTGTGGTGCAATTGGTGTTGGTGGCCGGTGGTGGTGCAGTTGGCGCTGGTGGTGGCGCAGTTGGTGACGCTGGTGGTGCAGTTGGTGCCGCTGTGGTGCAATTGGTGTTTGGGGCCGGCGGTGGTGCAGTTGGTGCCGGTGGTGGTGCAGTTGGTGCCGACGGTGGTGGTGTAGTTGGCACTGGTGTTGGTGCAGTTGGCGCTGGTGGTGGCGCAGTTGGGGCCGGTGGTGGCGCAGTTGGGGCCGGTGGTGGTGCAGTTGGTGCCGGTGTGGTGCAATTGGTGTTGGGAGCCGGCGGTGGTACAGTTGGCGCCGGTGGTGGTGCTGTTGGTGCCGGTGTGGTGCAATTGGTGTTGGGGGCCAGCGGTGGTGCAGTTGGTGCCCGTGGTGGTGCAGTCGGTGCCGGTGGTGGTGGTGCAGTTAGTGCCGGTGCGGTGCAATTGGTGCCGGTGGTGGTGTTGGGGGCCGGTGGTGGTGCAGTTGGTGCCGGTGGTGGTGTTGGGGGAATTGATGGTGAGCATGGTGGTGGTGGTGGTGGTGGTGCCGCCTTCTCACTGCTTATACACATGCATATGCCCAGCAACCTCAAAACATGAATCAAAACAATGATCATAATTGATAATCTATTATTAGACAATTTCCGGACACATCTTCCAAACATTGCAGTTTGTGAATGGATGCGCGTTAGTATTATAGTTTGGGAACAAGTCTTTCCAGATTTTTTTTGGAATATGATACCTGAACTCTGATGATTGATGTGATGCATATATTGACAGGTACTCAGTTCAGAAGAGTGAGAACCATTGACTACTTATGGTCGATGGCAGAACATGTTGACCCATGGTTGGGCACCGGCGCCATTTTTTTTGGAATGTGATGCATGATAGAAAGGCACGCAGTCCGAAAAGATAGAGAACCCTTTTAACTTCAGTTTAAAAAAAAAAAGAGGAGAGAACCCTGGACTACTTATGGTCAATAGCGGAACATGTTGGCCCATGGTTGGGCACAGGCCGTATTATGGGCCAAAAGCTTTTTAAGTAAAAGGACGAAGTCTAGCTGTCTAGGCCCTAACTGAAAGAACAAAAACATTTTTATTAATTGGATTTTCTAACTTGGCACTAAAAGCATAAGTTAAGGTATATTTATATATTATTTTATAATAAATTTTTATAAAAAAATATAAAATTAAGATATTATTTTTAATATTAATATCAATTTAATGATTTTAATTAGATAAACAAATAAAAAGACATTTCAATTGTATGCATCCGAAAGGGTGAAGGCATAGAAAAAAAAGTTTCTTCAAAATATTTTTTGAAAATCTGGATATTGGCTGGCAAAAGGGCAGTTCACATGTCACAGACTGCTTATCTCATGTGATCTACTGCTTAATTCTTCGATTACAAGAAACTCGTGTAGTTCAAGTGGTCACTTAATTATTAATTAAAAGGTATTTTACCTTGAATGTGGAGTTTAATCCTTATTTTTTTTGTACATTCCTTCACTTTGGCCATAGTCGTTGTTGTCCAAGAAGGCAGTCGGTGGGTTGCACCCTTATCCAGGTTTAATATTTCCCATTAATAATTTTAACTTTACTAATCTCTAACCATTTCTTTAACTAAAAAAAAAAAAAAAATTCTTCGACTACTTTTGTTTTGTCTTCTTCCCCAGCACAGACGAGCATGTCCCACGCGCGTTAATCTTGAAAGCGCGCGTCTTGTATTCGAACCCAGTGAAAGTAGCACACGTGGATGTTTGTTATTCCATGACGAATTGATGATTGTATTTTCCAGTCACGCGCTTTAGATCCACGTAAAATTCAGTACATTACGAAACAAAATATCTCAGCAAATCTAGTCGAATTTACCTGAATATCCTTCTATGCAAGTTGAGTATTTTGCCTTTGTATCAATGACTTCAATCCCTTTTTTTTTTTTTTTTTCCGAACGTGGACAATTTTTGAGGTAGGAAATGAGAATAAAACTCAGCCTTATGGACTGGAGGCACACCAATTCCCAATCGGCCTAGAAGGCCAGGTGCGTCAATGGCTTCAATCATTCGGTAGGACTTTTGCATCCCCTATTACGGGTTTGGTAAGGTGATGTTTGGGAGTATGGTTACAATATTTTTTCACTAAGTATTTTATTAAAAATATTAATTTGTTATACTTATTTTTTTTTTGGTACATATTTATTATACTTAATTTTATTAATGTTTTATATT